TTAACTGACCTGCTTTCGTTGTCACCTATCATCCCTCACTGGTGCTATACCAGCGTATACCGTCAGCGCAAGCAGGGTTACCATTCCATTATCACCCATTAATCTAATATATAAAATTCTCGTGTCGCGGTGTTTGTTACCAAACTCCTCCGAAACGGCTTTACCGATTTTTATGAAATTTTGTATGCATATTGGGTAGGTCTGAGAATCGGCCAACATCTATTGTTCATACCCCTCAATAATAAGGGTGACCCACCCCTAAATATGTTTTTTTATTTTTTCGACAAAAAATTTTATTTTTATTTTACTATGATTTAGCATTGAAAAATACATACAACTTCAAATTTTCACGCTTTTACGATCAACTCCTGTTTTTTAATCGCGATTTTTATATGCTGCAATAGGGTTGCAAGATGGCGATCGAATATAATAATTGTAGTACGATAAATTTTCATGTATAGTTCTCAAAATAATGTATATGGTAAAACGTTTGCCGAGTCAGCTAGTATAGATATATATATCTCCGAATGAAACTAACTTTGTAAAACCACTTATTACCTATTTAAACCAATTATCAAGTTGTGTGCTTGTTAAGGAATGGCATAATCTATCGACAATGTTAGGTTACGAGTTAATCATTGTATTAAAAGAATAATTACTTTATAAGTCATTTTTAAATGTCCATGCCGCTCATTTAAAAGCTTATCGCATCTTTCAAATGTTATAAAAACGCCATATTTGTTTTTAGATAACATGACACGTTGCTATATGCTTTTGTGATTTGAATCTCTATGCCAATAAATTATTTCGTTTTCGACTTTAATAACTTGTTTTCTTTGAAACCGAACATGGCGTCTAAATGATTTGCCATGCTAGTTTGTGGGAACAGTCGAGAATGTTTTGTTTTTGCCAAGAAATTGATAGTTTTTGTTTTTTTTTATAACACTATGACATGTACTAAAGATTCTCATATCTCAACAATAGAGTATGAAAATAAAAGATATGGCATAATAAAATATGATAGTATCGTAAATGAAAATGGCAAATGACAAGTTACTCGTGATTAATTTAAATTATATTTATATATATATATATATATGAATTGATACTGGGTACAGAGGAATAACACCTGAGTCCTCAGAAATGGCAACGCATGGGGGGGTATCATGGGCGAAACAGTATACTCTGTTATGTCCACGGTACTGCTCATGTCTATAGGCGACGGTTACCACTTTCCATCAGGTGGGCCGTCAGCTTGTTTGCCATTCTAAGTTGTATAAAAAACAAAAATCTATATACACATGTAACGGAAAATTAATGAACTGTGTTTTTGTTGTTTCCGACAATTGTTTCGACTTCAGTTTGCATCAATTCTTCTCACCTCGCACTTTTAAAAACAATAATCGCAATGAAATTTGGTAAACACGTGCTATAGGGGACTGAGAAGGGTTTAACTCACTTTTTATATCGATCAGCAAGAATATCCCTGTCGGGCGTATAAATAAAAGCTAGCGTATAATAAATAGTGACGCATTATCAATTCTAACTAAATTTTGATTAACAAAAATTGTCGATTTACACCAATATTCGTTATTAATAATCGGAGGGTTTAAAAATTCTGATCTCTCCCGATGATGCCATTAAATCACCACCAAATCACCGGTACCAAAGCGGAACGAACCCAGCAATGACAAGCGCGCCGACAAAGCAACCGACGGGCCATACAGCCGATCACTTCTAATTGTGTGATATCATACGAAAACGCTTTGTTAACCGCAAAGAAATCTCTATCGGAATCGATAGATACAACAAATTTATCTTTTGTGATCGCCGAATGCCAGTTTCACGATTTTAGGAGGGCGTAATTAAATAGAACGGATCGAAACGGAACGGTACTTTTTCGTTTACGATTTTTAATTCGATATTTCGAATGATAGACGCTCGATTGTTTGTGCCGATAATATTGTGTTTCCGGGATTTGCACATTTGGAAAGTAATCGACTCGTGATTAATTTAAATTATATTTTATATATATATATATATATGAATTGATACTGGGTACAGAGGAATTATCAGAAATGGCAACGCATGGGGGGGTATATATATATATATATATGTCTATGTTACCACTTTCCATCAGGTGGGCCGTCAGCTTGTTTGCCATTCTAAGTTGTATAAAAAACAAAAATCTATATACATGTAACGGAAAATTAACGACGCGTTTGGAATCGAGACAGTTGTACTAATCAGAGAAGTAAAACTTAATAGAGATTAGACATCACAAGTACCTCAATTTATATTAAAATTATGATACCTTATAAGGAAATATGCCATATGCCAGATTTACCAGAGGAAGACTTTGTACAAAAGTCGATTTCTTGGGTACCTCTGTCCTATTCGTGTTTCTATCGTGAAGCAGTTGTGTTTGCATGGCTGTGTTTCGGTTTGAAGGGTGGGATATGGCGTGAATTTACTGGGTACAAAGGAATAACACCTGAGTCCTCAAGAAATGGCAACGCAATGGGGGTATCATGGGCGAAACAGTATACTCTGTTATGTCCATGGTACTGCTCATGTCTATAGGCGACGGTTACCACTTTCCATCAGGTGGGCCGTCAGCTTGTTTGCCATTCTAAGTTGTATAAAACAAAATGCTTTCATCATAGAATAGGCCACCCCTTTCTTTCCCGTGGGTGTCTTATACCTAAGACACACACGGGAAAGATAGGGACTTAGAAACTTAAGTATCTAGGGATGGACAGCAGCATACCTCTTAAAACATCAAGCTACTGGTAAAACCACCCTTACAGGGTGATATGATGATGAGGATCCCGAAAAATTACTATTTTTGTTCTAGAAATTTGATCAAAAAAACCTTTTTTTTATAATTTTAATTATCTAAATGATTATTTATTTATTTATACCTTATTGTACATACTATTTATCAATAATTACTAGTACCGCATTCGAGTATTCTGACACTTCCCTATGGTTGACTGGGAGAGAATGATTTTAGCATTAAGTCCGCCATGTACACATATTTGTACTGATGAATAAATAAATAATTATATATAAAAATATGACAGAGGTAATCAAATGTACAAAGGCGAGCTTAACTCTAAAAGAGTTCTCCAGCAACACACAAAGTGGAAAGGAGCATCAAGACTGGTATCATGTAGAGCGGTGTACAATAACATATTGTGACAATTTACAAACGAGAACAACTAGACAAACTTAAGTTTATACATAACTAATTATGTATAAACTTAATTAATTTGTATGTATGTATTTTGTTGCTAATTTGCAATCCGCCATCTTTGCATGTATGTAAAATTCATTAATATCCAAATTAACGGATAATTTACTACATTTTTTAATATTCGATTTGTATGGAAGGATAATACCTACCACGACAGTGTAAACTATTCTCAGACATACAATATTACTAGACAAAATAAAAGGCTCGCATCACCCAGCCCCTGTAAATCCATCAAGCGTTTATAGCGCTTTTACGATGCGCTGCCGGCGCTTCGGTAAAAATTAATTAAATCTGCAATTTGAATGTGCAATCAGGTTTATGTTTAATTGGTCACGTGTACGTCAGCGAATGACTTATGGCTTATTGGAAGGATGTTTGGATGGCTCATAAATTGTCGTAATGCAAACTCTCATCTCGCGGTCAGCGGTGATGCTGGATGAGAGACTTCGAAAACTAGGTTTTTATTTCATTTCATTTGTATGTTTTCTTTTGGTAAAATTAGGCTATTACGTCACCAATTTTGATATATTTTTCTTTTGCAAGTGACAAGGTATACACTGGAATTAAATAATTTTGTGACAATCGAGGTTGTATTTTTTTTCGCCTTGTAAAAATTTCCTCATTATCGATCCAGTATCTACTGAAATATTACAATTTAATAAGTGTAAATAAATGCTATAATTCGTTTGAAGTTCTTGCGTGCCTGTATTTTAATAATTTTTTTTTTTTTTACTAATCTCGCACGTGGTAATACGAAGTGATTTTTGATTAATAATAACATAATTATATTCAAATTTATATAATTAATTAGTGGGAAAATGTAGAGAAAACTATATAGGTTTTATATACCCATTTTAACCTGTTTCTTGGAAGAAACGTTTTTTTTTTATACAACATAGAATGGCAAACAAGCTGACGACCCACCTGATGGAAAGTGGTAACCGTCGCCTATAGACATGAGCAGTACCGTGGACACAACAGAGTATACTGTTTCGCCCATGATACACCCCCATCCGGTGCCATTCCTGAGAACTCGGGTGTTATTCCTCTGTACTCAGTAAATTCACGCTATATCCCGCCCTTCAAACCGAAACACAGCCATGCAAACAACTGCTTCACGGTAGAAACACGAATGGGACAGATGTCCCAAGCAATCAACTTTTGTACAAAGTCTCCCTCTGGTACCTCTGGTGGTTTTTGAGTTGCAACCTCGTACACAAATGCAGTGTAGGTTGATCTTCCTCCAACTAGTGTGGAGTGACGACCTCAAATGCATTGTAAGGAATCAGTGGATGCAGGTGGCTCTGGACTTTATGGCAGTCTATGGGGAAGGTCTATGTTTAACAGTGAACAAATAATGGCCGAGATGATGATGATGCTATGGTAGTTTATTGTTTCTGCCTACACCAATAGGAGACAAACATATACTATTTTTTTTTATGGGTGATAATCGTATGGTAACCCCGCCTGCGCTAACTGGATACGCTGGCGGAGCACCAGTGAAGGGTGATAGATGAGAATGAAAACAGGCCAGTTAGCCCATCATGATGAATTCATAAGGAATTAACCATGATAGTTTTTAGGGAGAACCGCATGGAGGTCGACCTGGTTGGGTATATTGCTAGCAATGGGATTTTCAGTCTCTATTACTAATAATCCCTTTCCCCCAACATATACTATTAGCAATATTAGTATGTTTTACTAGTTGTGTATTTAATTTCTTTTTCTTTCTTCTTTGCAGATTTGGATGCTGTGACTTATGGAATAGGGCTGAGCAACGTAAGTTGACACTGCCTTAACATGTAAATCGAGTTTTTTTTCGAGTATTTGTGTTTGTTTTTTTATACAACTTAGAATGGCAAACAAGCTGACGGCCCACCTGATGCAAAGTGGTAACCGTCGCCTACAGACATAGCAGAGTATACTGTTTCGCCCATGATACCCCCCATGCGTTGCCATTCCTGAGGACTCAGGTGTTATTCCTCCGTACCCAGTAAATTCACGCCACACAGCTGCTTCACAGTTGAAACACGAATGGGACAGAGGTACCCAAGCAATCGACTTTTGTACAAAATCTCCCTCAGGTTATTTTAAATTTGGTGTTCAATTGAGTTGCTGATATAAACATATATGCTCACGACTATAATCTAGAAGTAATCTTAGTACGAATTTTTTTAATTATTAACTTTATTTATAGACAAAATTGTTTATTATTTATTAAATAATAAAGGGTTTTCTTCTTTGTTAAGATGAGCAGTGACAATTAAGTGTTACCAGAAAGTTTAAAAAAAGTTTTTTTTTTTTTAATTTTGGGCTATAGTTTTCAATAGTTGTCAGTGGCATTTGTCAGATAATTGACTTTTTTAATGGATGATAATACAGTGGTAATCACGGCTGCACTAACAGTATACGCTCGCGGGGCACCAGTGAGGAATGATAGGCGAGAATAAAAAGGCAGGTCAGTTAGCCTATCGTGATAAATACATCTAGAATGGGGGGAAAGGGATTGTTAGCAATGGAGTTTGACAGCACCATTGCTAGCAATATTAGGTCGACCTCCACGTGGTTCCCCCTGGAAACCGTCGTGAACTATTCTTGTTGAATTCGTCACAATGGGTTAACTGATCTACTTCATCTTCACCTATCATCCTTCACTGGTGCCCCGCCGGTGTATACCGATAGCGCGGGTGGGGTTACCATTCCATTATCACCCATTAAAAAAAAATGCTCGCTACAGGCGTGCAATATTAAAATTATAAAAAATACATTATACAGTTCAATTACAAATAATCGAAATTCATTGCAATAAACAATTTTAAAGTCCTTTTTCTGTGATTTATTATTAAAATATTCTTTCAAATTATAAAAACTAAATTAAATAAAGTTAAATAGTTTATTTTCCAAACTTTTTTTTTTTATGCCGGGACCATACGGCGACACAGGAGTCAACCTCATCAATTGCAAAAAGAATTGATAGAATCGGACCAGAATTGCTTACTTAATCGTGTAACGTAGGGGGAAAGGGATTAGTCCCAATATAAACCAGGTCGACCTCCTCGCGGTTCCCCCTGGAAACTATCATCTGACGAATTCATCATGATCAACTGGCCTGTTTTGAGAACCTGCATTTTCATCTAATAAAAAAAAAAAAAATCGTGTAACGTAGTCCCAAAATAAATAAATACAGATCAATTGAGAACCTGCTTCTGGAAAGAGGCTTAAAAATATTAGGCCAATCGCTTCGAATAGTCATTTGTGAATTTACGGACGTTGGGAAATGTTTGAACGAGCGGCGTTCATTATATATGCTATTTCTATTCCTAGCTACTTACAACTGTCACCTGGCTGACGGTGTTAGACATTCTTGACATTTCGCGGAGAGACAGGCTAATAAACGAGTGTGTATTTAATTTCGCCAACTTAGCCAAGTTGATTTATGATGTTACCGAGACACACCTTTCAGTTATAATTCTGAGAATAATATAGCCATATCTGGAATCATCGAATTGGGATCGAATCATAATCTGTACTAAAGCATATTTTGAAATAATGACTGTTTAAATGTCAAAAATCTGTGGACCTAAATATGGTATTAATATGTATTGTAATTTTTTTTTCTGTTCTATTCTATTTTCAATGACTATTTATTTTATTTATTTATTTATTTAATTCTTTATTATACACACCAGTTATTTACTAAAATATAATCACGCTGGTCACCGTCTAGGTGGTATTTTCACCAGTATTATTTATCCAAATAAATCTGTGACAAAAAGCATAGGTAATCAAATGTGACAAATCAAATGTACAAAGGGGAGCTTAACTCTAATAGAGTTCTCCTTCCAGCAACACCCAAAGTGGAAAGGAGCATCAATGTCAGCGGATAGAGCGGTGTACAATATTGTGACAATATTTAAACAAAGAAACTAGACAAAAATAAATTAATTACATTATATTTAATCGTATAAATACACATATACATAAATATATACCTACATCTATGCATATACTTAGACATATATATACACGTATACATTTATATACCTACATATATAGATAAATAAATAACATGTTCACAGAGATAGAATATGCTCTTTAAGTCTGTAAATTAATTTAAAGCAATATTATATTATATAGTAATTATTTTAGTTATAAAGTGACGTATCATAAGAATCTGTAACAGATGTATATGAATGAAGATGATTGATTGATTGAATCAGGTTTTAGAAACCTACAGATTTTTTTTTTAATAAATGATAATCAAATAGTAGTCCTGCTCGCGCTATCAGTATACACGGGCAAGGCACCAGTGAGGGATGACTGGTGAGAATGAAAGGCAGGCCAGTTAGCCCATCGTGACAATTCCACTAGAATTAACCACGATGTTTTCCAGGGGAAACCATATGGAAGTCGTACTGTTAGAGTATATTGCTAGCAATGGGGCAATTAAACCCCGTTACTTACAATCCCTTTTCCCAGAATTTTTTGCGTTAGAACCAAAAATTAAGTCTGCGTGTTTAGAAACTCGATGTTTATCTTAAAGCTATTCGATTCCCAAATAGTTGGAAAAACCGTAAACATGCTTGTGATTGTAAATTATCTTTGCAAATAGACTTTGGTCACTTTAATTTCGTTCATCCAAATAGCAACTGTCGAATATCTCTCAGCTCTGCAAATTCGATGACTGCTAAATCCTGGCGAACGTCTTGTTCCAATATAAACCATTAGTCGTCAGATATATGTGTAACAGTGGCTTAATTGAGATGGAGTCGAACACTGGACTGGATGTCCAGTGGGCTGCAAAGTGGCTTCTATTCCGGTGCCGTGTCGAGTGTGTTACCGGAATAATTGATGGCATATTGAGTAGGTACTATCATTTGAGTTTGAGACTAGTGTGTCTGTAAACTCTCCGCTCCATGTGACAGACTATGGAGGAGGCATATGTTCAGCAGGTGACCGTGTGCAGGCCGATTTTTTTTTATACCTACCATTGAGGTGGCAAACAAGCATATGATCCACCTGATGGTAAGCGGTTACCGTAGCCTATGAATGCCTGTAATACCAGAGGTATTAGGTATTTACACCCTTTTGAAGAACCCCATGCTGTAGTCTCTTGGGAAAACCTGGGCAGGGAGCTCATGTCCAGCAGTGGACAGATAACGGCTGATATGAAGATAATGAGTGCGTTTACGAACATTATTATTACTTAGTTCAATTATTTACAAAATCATATTATTATGTGCTTTTGTGGTATTTTCTATACTGATCTTTTATAATTTAGATATTTTTTTTTATACAATTTAGAATGGCAAACAAGCTGACGGCCCACCTGATGGAAAGTGGTAACCGTCGCCTATAGACATGAGCAGTACCATGGACATAACAGAGTATACTATTTCGCTCATGATACCCCCATGCGTTGCCATTCCTGAGGACTCAGGTGTTAATCCTCTGTACCCAGTAAATTCAAGCCATATCCCACCCTTCAAACCGAAACACTGCCATGCAAACACAACTGCTTCACGGTTGAAACACGAATAAGACAGAGGTACCCACGCAATCGACTTTTGTACAAAGTCTCCTTCTGGACTCCAAATTTTTATACCATTAAAGCTAGTTAAGAATTCAAAGACAGCGTATATTTGTTATGACGTTTCAGTTAATTTCAATCGTCATCAAGCATTAATATAAGATCTATAACCCCATGGTTCTCGAAAGCAACAGCGTATAAAAGATGTCTTCCTTTCATTATTATAGAAATACCAGATCCGCTAAGTCCATCATCGACCAATTCTCACTAACTTCAACACTACGAAAATGCGGCTTTTAAATGGTATTTGGGCTTCATAAATCAAGAGCACGGTTCTAATTCTATAAGAGCGCGACACGCAGGAATAGGCTCGCGGGCTCGCGGGACATGCCGCTTGAATAATTGAGCGTGTTTGTCCCTAAACGGCCCATGCCGAGTCGTCCCCTGCCGCTCTCGTCTGTTCTAGCCTCGTTCGGCCCGCAGCTAGGGTTTCCAGATTCAAGTTTACCATTTCCAGGACATTTTTTATTTATATTGTTTATACTGCATTTAAATTTAAATTTATCTTTATTCTTTTCTCCTTTTCTAGTCTTATTTATTTTTGTATTACGCCTTGACCAAAATACGATTTTAATTGTTTCTCTCTATTCTGAGAAGAGAATCGCTATTTAACGATAAGGTCGGCCATTGTTGCTTCTTTATCTTGCTTTTATGCAACTAAGTTTATGTAATAAAATAAAGTATTCATTATGTTTGTGTACGTATTGTTAATATTTATAACCTGTATCATTGTTTGAAGGGAATAACAGTTTAATTGATTCATTCATTTAGGTGTCGGACCTATTACTACAACTTTAGATGATAGATATAAAAATATGCAACTTAATTTGTTTATTTGTACATTTATATTTAAAATAAGTTACAGAGAAAAAATTATAAAGTACACAGTATCTCTTGGAGAGCTTTTTTCCAGTTACCCTAGAAAAATAGAAAGAAAAAATTTAAAATTATCATAATTAATAATCGAGTAATTACTTTAGTGTTATAATTGTATAGATAAATGATATGTTTTACACTATACTATTACAGTATAATTATATATTATGCGCATTTAAAAAGTTAAGGCATCGATAATAAAAGAAATGAGGTTGCTTTTTATAATACTAACTTTTATAATACTTTTTTATATTATTAATTTTAAAACAGAATTGTTAATTAAAGTTTAGTAAACAATCAAAATCATCACCAA